AATAAGCTTAAGTATCTGAAATTGGAGACTATATCGAAACCCATAGTTGGTGGGGATGCCAAAAAAAATATTACTAAATCTAATAATATATCTTTGGGTAGTACTAATCTCAGTAAATATTTTATAGTGAAAAAAATATGGATCAAACTGAAAAAACTGATAGTAATATATTGATATATACTAATGATGAGATTACTGAACTATCAAAAAATGATACTGAGGCTAACTACAAGGTAAGTAATGAAACTAGCATTAGTGAAATTAGTGAGGATAATATGTTCGCTTTAATTGAATTGAATTCTTAGATGAAGCCTAGTCCCAAAGCTTTGTCTCTTCCTGTTGTAGCAAGCATTTTGATATCACCGCTATCAGTATATATTTTTCTTATTTTATTGATTATCATAGTTATGTAGTTTGTAAGATGTACATGGGGATTAGAGAGGAAAAGTGATCGATTCTGGGATATATAGATCAGATAACTGAGACTATCGATTTGAACTTGAGTATTATTTATGTATGAAAAAATATTATTAATAATATTTAAATATTGCTAATATTAGGGAATATATTTGATACTTAACAATATAGAATAGCACAGCTAATCAATTCAAGGCTTTGATATATTTCATAAGCCATTTTTTAGCTTCTTTTTGAGAATATATGTCAATTTGCTTTTCTTTCTCATCCGAATTTTTGAGTTGCATAATTTTATGTGAAGAAGGTAGTTAGTATCTTTTATCATTATTAATAAAGTGGGCGCATAATCCCACAGTTTGTTCCAAATAGTGGCTAATATCTATTTCTGTATTGAGCTCTTTTGTATTATCTGAAAACTCCATGTAGTCTGCAACCCTTCGCAGTTGTTTTTTATCATTTTTGTTATAAAGAGAATCACCTTTTACTACTATATAACTAAAGTGCTCACTAGGGTCTGGGATACTCAAACTTTTTTCTTTTATTCGAGCTTTAAAATATTGAATACATTGGTTTTTTACTTTTGGTTTCTATATAGCTATCGCAATAAATTGACCAAAATCTCATTGCTTATATTTTGCTTCTCTAAGAGCATTTTGACGATTTGATAGATTGTGCGTATATTATTGATATCCATCGCATCTCTCATAATTTTCTCTCTAACAAATTTGAAAAGCTCTTTTTGACCTTGCTTTACAGTGTCGATACCTTTAGTAAACAGCTTTTTTGGCTTGAAATTTACTATTTCCTCATGTGCAACTCTGAAGTATTTCTTTTTACTGATAAAATATACAGAGAACAATACTTCTTTATAAGCTATTTTTAGATAGGAGGAACTATTTTTTACCTTAAGAAAGGCATTAACTTTATTGTAAAAATTATCCATTACCTTCATAGTAATTTTAACTATTTCAGTCCAGTATGCTTCCTTAGAGAGTTCTCCTCTGGTAAAAGCTTCATCATATTTTTTGTAGTACTCATCTGAACAAGTAAGATATAAAGAATCAGTATCACTATATTTTATCTTAAAACTTTTCTTAGTTATGTAATCTGTGATAAGATTAATGTTATATTGTTTTGCTGAAGTGATTCCTCAGCTAACTCACAAGAAAGAATAGAGATTTACTATTTCCAGCCTCACTATAGAAAGTATTCATATATATTTTTAGAGCGAACTGCTTAGAATTTAAACAGTTGTAATCAAAACATAAAGATGCATATTTCAATTTTAAAGTATCTAAAACTATTTTTCCCTTCTCTTCTATAGTACTTATAAGTTTTTCAAGGTGCTTCTTTTCTTAACGCAATAAAGTGAACTTTGCTTTGAGTTTTACTCATTTGTTAAACAGGTCCTCTAAAACTATTGGATATAATCCTTTTTTCTTGAGGCAATTATCATACTGAACAGACTAGGCACGAAGAGTGCGATCAATAAATAAAAACTCAATCTTATGCAAGTTGTTTCCATTTTTTTGTACAATATCAGCCTCTCCTTCATTTAGTATAATTTTTTTTAGAGAGAGATTGTAGGCTATAATAAGACTTGGATATAACAAAGCAAAATCTAATCCTATTACAGGTCTTTTCATTTTAATCCTTTTTTTAGATTGAAATACATATGTGCTAGGGTATTTTTTTTTTTCTATATTTTTACATACTCTTATACTAAATACTATCTCATGTTTAAAAGCATAAGCTTCCAGAAGATTTTGTACTTTCATTCTGTTTGCACGATAGTGGGAGTTGAAGAAAGATACATGAGCTATAGAAGCAACTTCTCTATAATCGTTAATTATATTGTGTTTAACTACAAGTTTTTGGCAACGTAACGCATCTATAATATAATAGTTTGCTACTTTGTGCATATTTCTAGCAGTTATTTCAGAAGAGCATTCCTTTGCCTTAGAATAGTAGTTCTATAATTTGTTAAAAGGCATATCAGCCTTATTTTCGAGCCTACATAATTTTAAGTAGAACTTAAGTGAACTTTCTTTTTCTACTTCTGAGTGAGGGTAAAGTCTCTTAAAACATGCGCAAATATCGATTAGTACGCATCTAGGTATTTTAAGAAAGGAAGATTTAAAAACATCTTCTGAACTAACTTTGATGAAAACAGAATCTCTCCTAAATTCTTCTACACCCTCTTCTGCATTCTCTTTTATGAAAGAGAATTCATTTGAAGTAGTCATTTCTCCTAATCTTCTATAATAATTCTATTGTATAACATCTTCAGAAGTCTCCTGATGAGTTCTTCTCGACATCTGTTTCCACATCTATTCAATGAGATGTAACTTATTGGCTTTTTCCATAATAAAAGGCCAATCATATTTTGAATTATTAAATCTGAGTTGGATATCTGGAGCAAATACCCACTAGCAAAGTGCAAATGCTTTTAGCAAATTAGTTTGTGATCTGCATATAATTGTAATCAATCGTAGTTCTGATGCTGACTCTACATCGACTAGACAAATCTGTTTCAAAGGTCTTGGATTGTCTTTCTAATGAAGAGTCATGCAAATCATAAAGACTCGATCTTCATCATATTGAGCAACAGGAAGTTCACCTATTCCATGTGAACTATAGATTTCTATATCCCATATGATAACAAGTATATGATCTTTTGTAAGTGCTCAGATTAGAAACTAGTTTTTCAATATTACTACATCTTCTATAGAGTAAAAATTTTCTATCGAAATATTAAATACGTGTGCACAAAAAGAACCTAGATTCTCTTCTGGCAAATATTTATAATTTCTTAATGTTGACCAGTTTGAAAGCTAAATTCAATACTCACGAGCTACTTTGCGATAATATGTGAATTGGTCATTTGAGGCTATAATATATTTTTTTCATAGATTGCTTTTATTGCAAACTTTCTTTGCTTGGTATTGGTTGTATAAATATGCAAATATAACTTTTTATCAGAATTGTAATCACAAAATGGGTATGCCTTTACATACTCCACTCTGAACTATTTTGATATACCAGAGAGAATAGCTCTTATTTTTGTCTCGAACAAATCAGAAGATAAGTCTTCTGGCATGAGAATATCAAAGAAGACTTAAATTCCTGTTATTGAAACAACTGCTTTTTGTCCATTAATGAGAGAACCATAGAGGTGCAATATATACCAAGCCTGACCATTTATGAATTTATTAGACTTTTCTACATCAACAGCTATAAATAGAATATCTTAACGCTTAGATAAAGCATCTTCAAGAATTGCAGTTAATCCCTTATCATCTTCTGTGACTACATTATTATGAGTTAGGATATCTATCAAATAATCTTTACCAAAGTATCAGAGTAATTAACTGGTTTTTCCATTTTCTGAAATCTGTAATTTAGGAAAAGCTTTGGCCCTCTGGTGGTAGAAGGCCTCATTATTTTCTTCTGGCTCGAAATTTTCTGAGTATTCTGGGCTCTCTGATCAAGAAGGTAGTATATCCATTTCTGCTAGCACATGATTGATAGTTTAAAAATTTTGAATATCCATAATACGTTTTATTTTGAAACTATAATAGTGGTTAGAGAAAAGTTTAAAATAAAAATTAATTATTTTAGATAATTAGTGTTAGGCATATAATATATACGTTATCAAAGAATTTAGCATAAATATGGGATTTTACTATTGTCCTTATATCCTTAGAAGTGGGGAAGTATACAATCAGAGTTGCTATCATTCTAATAGGTGTTGTTTTTACTGAGATTTACCACAAATTCCTTGCAAAGAATATGGCTATATTAAGTTTACCTCTTCGAAATATGGTGTGTATAGAACTCATGCTAATAAGTATTGATCTCAAGATCATTATTAGCAAAAGAAGCTGAAGAAGATGGCACAAAACAGATCTGAGGTAAAAGAATCTTAGTAATTAGTGTATAATATATATCTGTTGATTACTTGTAACCAAAAATTGTAATACTGTACATGAATTATTAATAAACCTTAGTACAGTATTTAAAAATTAACTGTATTAAATAACATACTGTTAAGAAAAATATACGACAGGAGAAATGGATTGAATATACTCTAATAAGATATTAATTATTAGTTTCAAGAATAAAATAAAATATATTTATTGCAGTATATATGGAAAATCAGGATCGCAAAAGAAATAGAAATGGCTCTGAGTAGTCGTTTACTCAAGAAAAAAGAAAAAGACTTTTCAAAAGATATAGATAGTATAAATAGTACAGACAGATAAATATATAATATAATATTATATATATGAACTAGTATAATAAATCACATCATTCGATGTCCCCAGATAATTGCTATCTCGGAGTTTATAAAAATAAAAAAAAAATAAAAAAAATAGATTTATTCATTAGATATTCAATAAATAAAAACAATTTATAAAAATTGACTTTTGCACAGCATTTTTTATTATAATATCAATTATCAGTATAATTATACATGGAAATACAACATATCGATATTTACTGTATTTTCACCTTTATTAATAATTTAAGACAAATATGTGTTAACAAGTATTGTGTGAATAGCCGGTCAAAATAAATATCTATCTGAAGCATTTAATTACTTCTTTCTTAATCTTTTTGTACAATACAGGTGAATCAAATACTGGACCTATAGGAATACTATTTGACACTTCCATAAAGGGAACATAATCCCCTACTAGTTCAATATGCGAATGTCTGCACGAAGAATTCATATATCGATCTTTTCTATTTTGTATAGGATCATACTCATGAAGGCATACATAATACTGAATGGGCTCTATTCCTTTTCCAATAATATGAAAACCTTTATTAAGGTATTCATCGAGTTCTCATTTTCTAATTTTTTTGACATCACTTTCTGTGGAACATAGTTTAGATTTTATTTCATTGATAAGGCCTTCAATACAATAAAATTTGGCTTCTTGTAATAACTCCTCGAGTAATGCCCTATCGGTAAGGGTTCTTTTTAGCAATTTATTATTTCTTAAAAATTCAAGTATATATTTGAATAACTCTCCACTTCTATCAATAAAAACATTATCGTTGTTATCAAGAGTGATCGAAAAATTAGTACTGAAAAGTCCCAAAAAAAAATTCTTTTATTTTAAAAGTGTTTCTTTGGTGGTAACATAGAGCATACCACCAATATTAAGAGTCACAATTGGTGAATTCATTTTTAAGTCAGAAATAACAAAAGAGTTTTTTTTGATAATTAAATATTTTGTATTTTACTTCTTTATTTGAGTAATAATGGGAATCTAATCCTTTTTTATTTTTATTGTCAACCTATTGTTTAGCTTCTTAATTTAAATGATAGGGAAAGTAGTATCAATTTGACCCACCAGTAACTATTAGAGAGAGGTATTAGTTATTAATTATAATTTTTTTTATAATTCGCTTAGGACTTGAGAGACAAAAAATATTTATTTGATTTAGTTGTGTTGATCGAATTCTATGTAGAAACTTTAATTAACAGTTACATGGAATAAAAAAAATCGATTATTATAAAGTAATGTAGAAGTCTTAGTAAGAATTATTATCATTATTCGTGAGAACTAATTACTTGAACTATTATTCCCATCAAAATTTTTTAATTAGTATGCATTCCCTAAAATGGTTAATTTTACCTCATTATTTTGACATACATAGTTATGGAGAAAAGATAGGAAAATAATCATGATTATATAGTGAGAAAATGTTTACATAATATCCAAAAATAAGCTTCAGCAGATCATATTCAGTAAAGCCTCGTCTTTTTACTTGCTGAGTTTCGTTTTAACTAATTTTAATATATCATTGATTGTATTATATATTATAATTATTATAAGTTTTCTGCAGTGATAAAAAATTTATTTATTTGTAATGTGGGAGGTGGTAACCAATTATTATATTAATTGATGCATACGTCATTTTTTTATGTAAAAATTTGCAATTAATAAAAAAGATCATTACAGCATATTTGTTGATTACATATTATATTACTCGTATTATTCGCACTACTTTTAACTTTTATTTTTAACAAACTTACTTTCACCTTTTTAAAACTGGTTTTATAATAAATAAAACACGCGACTTAGAAGAAATAAATGTTTCAACACACGATATAGGAAAGTAAGTATCAATTAATGTTAATGTGTTGCAACTAATACTTTTTTTATAGACTTGAGAACTACTGAGGGACCAGTTATGAACATTTTTTGAGCTGTTTAAAAGAGGTATTATATTTACATGCTCTTCGATTACTCACCTAATACTTCTAGCATATTTTTTAGACAAAAGTTTGGAAATACATCAGAATTATTATGAACCTATAATATTTGAATTTATTTCTACGAATCGTGAAATTTTTTTAAATGTTATAATTAGGTTCACATGGGCACGTTGATTTGTTAGGCATGTACAAAATTTGTTTTCATTTAATAAGTCAAAAGTTGCCATGGGTCCGTACTATTTTTTGATATTATTTCTATGAATCATGAAATTTTATCAAATTATGTTACAAAGGTTAGCATTTTTGGGTCTGTTACATGAATCATTGAACAGGACAAGAGTAACTAATGATATTCTTAGATATATTTCTACGAAATGTGAAATTTATTGGGAATATCTGCATTGGAAGTGTGGAATATGGTTTATTTAAAGTATTGGGAGAACTTTGGATATGCCTATTGTATTCACTGAGTTAATTGGTTTTATTTAGTACTTTTATACTAATCTTCCTTTTTTTTATTTATTATATTTCTAGTGTTTTTTGTCAAAATAAAAATGAAAACGAGCAAAATAGTGAGTCTGTACACTAAGATCTTAATTACGATATAACCTACAAATGATATAATTTATTTGATGAGTTAGATAATTCGTAGGCAGATAATTATTTAACCAGAATATTCAGTAAGATAACGTGTTAAGCTTATTATTCAGGATAATGATCTGCATAATCTTTTGTTACTTTTTATTTTTTATTGTTAGTCATATTTTCAATATGCTTCCTTCATTGATTTAGTGGTGTTTCCTTTGTCATTTTGTTGGTGCTTTCTTCATACCTTCTTCGTTATTTTGTTAGTGCTTTCTTCGTACTTCTTTCACTATTTTGATGGAGATTTTTTAGTGATGATTCTTTATCATTTTGTGGTACCTCCTTCTATGAATGGCGAATTTTTATTACTTGATTAAAAACAGGTGATTATTATTTGAATCAGTATTTGGACTTTGATCATTAAATGCTTTAAATTGGTGAAAAAATATTTTAAACTGTTTTTTTTTTTACTATTCATGCCTCCTAATTATTTTGGTAGTGCTTTCTTCATCGTTATAGTAGTGTTTCTTTCATGTTTTGGTAATGTTTCTTTCGTTGTCAGTTTGGTAGTATTCCTTTCATAGTTTTAATAGTGCTTCTTTTGTCATTTTGTTTGTATTTGTTTCATCGTTTTATTGAGATCTAAATCATTTCACCGAAACTCACATTGTAGATATACTACTTCGTCTACAATCAATTCACTGATAGCTTGTAAATGTTTATTGGTATGTTCGAGTATTTATATTGATTAGATATGTATCTGAGTTTTTTTTTACTTTGTTTTGAAAAATCTTCAAAATTTATTCTATTAGAATATTTTTCTTGAGGCACAGACTCTTTAATATATAATGAATATATTACGCATGATTGAAAGTTATAACTTATTTTCAATAAGTTCACCTCTTACGTAGCTGATCAGTACTATTAATGTAACTTAGGAAAAAATAATGAGGGTATCGCTATTAATTTAATTCCTCTTTTTGTATTATTTATTAAGAAATGATAGAAACTCTAAAATAAGCTTTAATATAAATCAGTAAATAAAAATGATTATTTTTAAATCTTTAAATGTAAAAATTAGAACTTCAGTTGTAACTGCATCTAATTATTATCAATTAATGCTACTAGTATCCCTAGAATTACAAAAAGTATAAGTAGATTTGAATGATATTTAAGAAATCCTTTTAGTAGTTTAAACTTAAAATTTCTAATTGTGAAAATTATTATTATTATTAATATATAAACTAAGTATATTTTTGTAGTATATCGTTGCATACGAGATGTTAAACCCAAAATTATTACGTAATTTACTAGTGCTAGGGTGATAAATCAACTAAGTAATTAAACCTATGTCAGATATGGTGGTCATTTTACTATTATTAAATTTTTTTTTATTAGTATAATTAAATTTATCATAATAAAACAAGTGATGATTTTTAAAATATTTACATAAAAAATTGTGATTGAAAAATTATTCATAACCATCTTAAAAAATAGTTACTTTGATTTTTTTACAAATTTCTAATTAAATTTTAATTTATTTATATATAGTAAGATAAATTTTTTGAGAATTTCTATTTGTACCCTATGGGTATATACTCAGTTTATATAATTAATCAATCAGATTGCAGGATCTCTGTGTAATAAATATAAAGAAATTTTTAAGAAAAATTTAAAAATTTAAAAATCGCTAATATCTCAAAATTTTATTATTTAAACTTGCTTTGTATTACTAAGTTTTTAGCGTCCAATTTTATATATAATCTCTAACTCTAACCCAATATAGTGTTCACCCTAACTCTAAAGTAAATTTTAAATTTGAGAATTACTATTTGTACATAGGGTGTTTGTACACAAGGTAATACAAAAATATCAGAAAGCTAATCAAAATTTAAGATCAGGTATAACATGCAAATCTTTCTTTGTATAACAAAAAAAAATTCTTTGTTTTTGCTAAAATTTCAGGCTTCACTCTAACCCTAAAGTAGATAAAAAATGTTTTTTTTATAAAAAAATTATTTTTTTTTATAAAAAATTAAATTCATGTTTCAAACACTACATGTACAGTTAATTTTTTTCTTTAAATTTTTATTTTCTTAAAAAATAAAGTATCATACTCATAAGATAAATCTAGTAATTTTCAAATTTTTTTTTAATGAAATTTAAAAAACTTCATAAACTTTATAAATAGAGTGTGTGATATCATCTCTTTATATGTAAAGCTAATCAGATCCTAGGAATTTGTATAACAAGAATAAAAAAATATTTAAGAAGAAAAATTAAAAAATTATAAATATCTCAAAATTTTATTATAAAAACTAGCTTTAAGCTATTAAGTAAAAGTTTTCAACTCATAATTTTGCATATATATATAACTATTTAAACCTAATTTTAATATGAATTCGAACTCTAACTCTAATCTCCAAAAGTTTATTTTATTTATTTAATAATTTTATAATATAGGTAATATTATCTAGAATAAAAATTAGTTAAAACTTTATAAATAAATTATAAAAAGTTCAAGATAATTCCTCATTATGATAATGAGTTGATAAATAAATTTATTAAATCAATTGATAATCTTTTATATTATCTGCAATATATTAATTCATTATGTAATATATGAATTTCTGTTTTTGATTAATTAATATTATAGTGTTTAATATTTTTATAGCTAAGTTTATTAATGCAAATATCTTTCAAGTTTCTGTTTTTTTTTGGTATTAGTTCTATTTCAGTTATGATAAAGCAAATTGTGCGTTACCTAGAATTTAAAATAGTATTAGTATTAGTTATATAAAATTTCTATATAAATTAGAAATATTATGCAATTATTAAATATAATAAAATTAATTGATAAAAATCAAAGATCATTTATAAGATTTACTTTTTCTTCATGACAAAAATTTGTTTTACTAGCTGTATTTTGTACTATAGTATAATAACAAAAATAAAAAATAGACTAAAAGTAAATTAAATGATTTAATATTGTCTAAAAATTTATTCAAGTCATTAAAAAAATAAATTACTATATAAACAAATGCTTTTTCTAATTATATTATACTCATAACTAAATATATTACTTCTATTATACTCTTTACTTACAGATAGAAAGTGGAAATACTCTTCTTAATAAAAAAAGTTTTAGTTAAAATTGTTAAATTATAAGTCATTAAAATTGGTTAAATTAACTTTCATAATAAATTTAATTTTAATCATGTTAAAGAATTATTGAAACAATTATTTTATATTTAAGTATATAAAAATATTAGAATGTTAAAGTTATTAATACTCATCTATTGTATATCTTGACAACTATAATAATTAAATAATATCTGCAACTAGGCCTTTATTAAAAACAGCTACTATAAGAAACAA